GTCCTGCTTCAAGCACGGGGATTCGACGTCCGAAGGCGGAAAGGGTCCACGTGCCCGGGTTGAAAAGTCAAGGGAAGTTTAAGCCATGTAACCCCAGGGCAGGTTGTGTATGATTATCATAATGTCGCTGTCACCCTATCAATATTGTCAAAGTTGTCCAAATCGGTTGGGGATTTTTAACTTGCCAGTAGAGGATTACACCACGATATTCACGGCTGACCATGCTAGTCGTGCTCGCATTTCCAAAGCAACAGTGATTATCCATCTGATATGTCAAGCAAGAGCGTGCAGAGTGTTTTGGACAAACATCAGAAAATTGTCAATCTCGTAGCCCTTCGAACTGTGGTAGCTCCCGGAGCATTATCTCCTTACAAAATGGCCAACAGCAGAAGCTTCGGACATATCTTTCCGTCATGGGTGTGGTTGCCGTGGTTCCGTTAGCGTGCCGTTAGAGTCAGACCCGAGGTGCAAAGACTGAGTAAGCTTCTGCAAGCCAACCGCTCCCAAGTGGGGAAGGCCACTGGACCCAGAGAATTGACCTCTGCAGGTCTGAGACTGGACGTCATGGCGATGGGTCCACGAGGAGTGGCTGCCTAAGAACTTTCGACTGGCCGAATAAAAGTTTGTGAGATAGTCGTCGGGTCTGCCTAGCGTACAGAAATACACCTCGGCCCGGGGCCGAGGCGTATTCCTGCACACTTGGCTCGGCGTACATCAGATGGCCTTGTATTGTGTTATTATGACCTGGTATAGATGTCATCTTGTCGCGGTGTACAAGAATACACCTCGGCCCCGGGCCGAGGCGTATTCCTGCACACTTGGTTTGGCGTGCAACTATCTCACAAACTTTCTTTCAGCCAGTTAAAAGTTGAACGATTGACCCTCGCCTCAATCGCCCTGCATGCCTGAGGTACGTTCTCTGTTGGCCCTGGATTTCCGAACAGCCGATCTCTTCAGAAGGCCGGGACTGTCGGCTGAATCGTTTCAGAAGTCGGCTTGGCATGATGGGTTGACCACCTCCTCCCCGCAAGATTGCGGCTTTGAGAAGTCAGAGAAGACCGGGAGCTTGTTGAGGCGGCAGTGTGCCGCTCTGCCCCGGCTCTAGAGATTGCGGCTTTGAGGGCCGCTCTGCCCCGGCTCTAGCGAAAGCCATGGCTCCCAAAACTGGCCGGACGAGTGGGGCCAAGAAGGCGGCCAAGGCAACTGCCAAAGCTAAGGCTGAGGCCACGGCGGCTGAGGCTGCCGAGGTGGAGTCTGGGGACTTTGCCATGGAGACCGGGCGTGAAGCCGTGAAAGAGGCCCTGGACTTTTTGAAGAAGAAGAAGCTCTTTCCGGCTAAGGCGGAGAAGGTCGGCACTCACTCCATTCTTCCAGATGCCTGGCAGGGCTCGAGCCTGAAAGAGGCCGGCTGGCTTTAGATTGTTAAGAAGTAAGACTGACTTGAGATACCCTTTTGGCGGTTCGGTCTCGTCTGACAGGCCTCCACATTCTCAGCGAGCCTGAAGGACGTTTCTGTGGAGACCCTGGAGGTGCCACCGCCTGAGGTGCTGTCTGAAGCGGCCGAGTATTGGTTCGAAGGGAGGTCTGATCAGACCTCCCTTTTCGTGTCGGCGACGGTGACGTCTGATGAGACCAAGTCAGGCGAGATTGTGCTGTCGCCTGAGGACCATACGAAGGTCGCGGCTCTGGTATGGGCCTTCGGCAAGGCGGCGGCTTCGTCTGACAGCGACCTCTGTGAGAAGTACCGCCGCCTGAGCAGCCGCATCGTGATCTCCATGGTGCGTGGCAAGGCGTCTGACCAGGCAGGGACCGTGGTCAGTCTGATCCAGGCATCTGAGGACATCGGCAAGAAGGCTATGGAGTGTTCCAATGCGATGCCGTTCAACCTCGCCTCGCGTCTGACGAGGACCCCGGCCGGGGTTTAGTAGTGACTGTCCCATTGCCAGGATCCGTAGTAGTGACTGGCTTCTTGCCAGGATCCGGGCCGCCTTGTCAGCACAACACAAGGCCTCCACTCACGAGGAGGTGTTCTTGTTGTTGAAGAACATCCGCTGGAACGGCGAAGCCTACAAGGCCCGGGATTCCTGGCCTGAAACTCTTAAAACCGAAGCCCTGAACCCGACAGGTGAAGACATCTGACCAGGTGCAAAAGCTCACCACTATGCTTGACAAGACGAATGCGGCCGGCATGACTGAGTCGATGAAGGCGTGCCAGTATGTGAATAATTCGACCACGTGGTTCGGCAAGTGGAGCATCGTCACTCGCGTGCACCTCGTCCTATGAGACAAGAATCTCAGCACACACACACACACTGCATGCCGTCAGATACCAAGGGTCAACAGCTTGAAGTCCAAAGAGGAGCAGCGTTTCGTCATGTCGCTCATCTGTCAGGTCCTTGCCTCAGCAGCCACTGTCGAACCTCAGATCTTCTTGGAAGTTCTGCCCAGGAGATGCGGGAGGACAGCAGCCTGAAGGACCATTTGGGTGTGTCCCTGTCGACCAACACCCACATGCGTGACTTGAACAGGGACCAGGCGATGCAAGCGACAGGGATGCTGCATCTTCGCTTCGTCGTGCTGGAGCGGCTGAGCCATCTGCCCATCCCGGACGATGCACTTGACAAGAAGACGGCCATGGATTTTCAGAAGTCTCTGCAGAGGTGTCTGAATCCGAAGGAGTGGGCTCAGCAAGGCGGCTTGGTATCCGTCGCGGCCTTCAGCGAGCCGCCGTACTGCAGTCTGAGTAAAAGGATTGCAGGAATGCTCCGTGGTGATGACGATGAGCTCTTCAGCACTGCTGTCACTTCCGGGCAGAAGGCGGGTCCGTGGTTGTGACAGTGACATGGCTTTTGCAAGCCAGAAATGATCAGCTGCCAGGAGGAGTTTGGACCCATCCTGGAGCTGCTGACCAGGTACAGCGACGAGTGGAAGATGAAATTGGGCCGTGTGAAGCCTGAGCCGCCGCTTGAGACCAAGCCTTCGCGTGAGCTGCTGCCCGAGACGGATCCGACGACTGATACGTCTGGGACTGGGACGACTCGCACGGCTGAACAACTCCGCGAAGTGCAGCTCAAGCGGGCGGTGGAGGCTGGAGTCTGTGTACAGTGTTTGCAGCGAAGCTCGTGTCCTCCGTTTGCACGACAGGAGGAAATGGCCTTCTACATTCACTTCTACCAAAGCGACATCAGGAATCCTTCCGCTGCCTGGGCTGATGCTCTGAAGCAACATCAGCTCCTTCAGAAGGACCGTGTCCGATGCATAGACCAGGCTCTTGTCAGATCTTCTTTGGTTGCTTGACAGGCTGAGCCGGTGTTATTCATCTTCGACTCCTCGCTGGTCGCTGAAAACGGAGGCTACAGCCGCGTGCACAACGTGTACCAGCGACCGGCCGTCTTCGAGCGTGGCCTGTACGACAACTGCTTCCGAGTGTTCGAGGCGGCTTCCAAGGACGAGGACAGAGACAGAAGCTTGGTGCTTGGATTCAATTGTTTTCCGTGCATGACAGGACCGCTGGCTGACCTTTGATAGCGGCGTGCAGAAGGCCTCGAACACCAAGTCTTTCAGGAATCATGGCTCGACGCCCCAGAGCATTATTCTGATCGGAAGCGAAGAAAGTGTTCAAGGGCGGAAAGACTACTTGCGGTCTGCGTGGCTTGGCCGCATGTTCTTGTGTTTGACTGCAGTTTCCTTTTTTGGCTTGGCCGCCTGTTCTTGTGTTGACTGCAGTTCATGCTTCCAGCCAAGGGAGGAGAGGAACTGCAAACGGCGGAAGACGGGAACCGCTGGAAGTCTCATCAGCATCGCCGGGGCCAGGGAGACAATGTACTTCGGGTGCAAGTCTGACCCCCTGCCTGCCAAAGAGCACAAATGGCTGGCGACTGATGGCGTGGTGAGCACCGCCTGTCCTGTCTCGGACTGAGACACGTCTGGGAGCAAAGTTTAATGACGGAGCTGGGGATAGGGAATCGTTGCTCTGAGGTGCTGCCGAACGTGCCCTTGCCTTCGCCTGAGAGCCTCATCCGGGGGACGGTGAGCCAGAAGAAGGAGGCCAGGAAGTCGGATATGTGCGAATTCATCCTGCTGTAATAATCGGTCAGGTCATCCCTTTGGTGTGTGGAAAGGGTGTGACCGACAACGGCGGCCAGGTGCAGGGCTGAGCATGTTGGGACGGCTCAGGCAGCACTAGTTATAGTTTCGGCCCCGGGAGGTGGCACCGGCTGAGCACGTGGAGGACACCGACACAGTCCCTCTGGTGCACTTCGAGAGGAGCTGCTGGCTGTGTCGCAAGTTTGAGTCCATTGTCTGGGCCGGTGAATTGAATTGGCAGGAGCCCACAGGTGTACCGGATGCTGCTGCACACGGTCTCGCCCATTGCCTGTGTCGTGAACTTTTCTCCGGGGTCGGGGTGCCTGAGCGTCGTCGCCGCAGAACAGCGGGTGCCCTGCATCAACGTGGTGAGGACGCCTGAACAACGGATGATGCTCCAGAGCATCATCCGGCAGGAGCTGGCTGGTCGCGTCAAGAATGCCAACGACCAGCGATTCTACCGCGTGCCTGAGCCGCAGAGGGCTGAGCCTGAGATGCCGCCTGTCTCGACAGCGGTTGCCTCGCCCGCGGTTCCGGTTCCCCCGCCTGCGACAACGACGGTGCCACCGCCTCAGACAACGACGGTGCCACCGCCTGAGAAAACCACGGATGTCTCGTCACCGTCTGGTGAGTCTGACAGCAGCTCAGGCGAGGACGTAGAAAAGTAGAAGGCCATTTGGGTCCAGTCTGATGGAGCATTGCACTTTTAACCATGCAGCTGAAGCCTGAAGCACGTCCAGTTTGAGACGTGGACCCAGCAGATTGCACTTTTCGCCCTCAAGGATGGCAGACGAGGTAAAACACCCGAGGATTGCAGAAGTTAGTACGTGATCTGTCAAACAACATGGTGAAGGTGCGACTTGGTCAAATCTCTCAATATCCGCAATTTTTGTGCTCGGAGTCTGAGTGCCGCCATGAAGCGGCCTGCCAAGAGGCAGGCGACCCAGCTGCAGAGAGCAGTCGCAGCTGGCGTCGTCAAGAAAGCCGTGAAGCCGTTCGCTTTATTTTGCCAGCAGCGTCGCCTGAGTCCACGAAAGGCGGCTAGTGCCTGGCGTGACTTGGGGGACAACGAACGAAAAGAATTCCTGGCGGCGTCCAGGCTTGGCTTCTCGAACCAACGGCAGGCAGCAGAGAAGGCAGGCGTTCGTCTGAGAAACTCTCAGCGAACCGACCCGCCTGTGGCACCTGAGCCTCTGTTGTCTGACCGTGCTCCGGACGACATCACCTTCGGCGACTACATCGTCTGTGGCTCTCAGGCCGGGGTTGGACAGGGCGGCTACGGCGGCATCATGAAAGTAAGGCACCGGGTTTCGCATCGCATCTATGCGGCCAAGGTCAGCAACACGAATTTCCACCTGTCTGAGGAAGTCGCCTTGCTGAAGCAGCTGGCTCACGAGACCTTTCTGCCGTTGCTCGCAGAGTCGGTGGTGACTGAGGATGAGTTCGTTCCCGGCCAGATCTCCTTCATGATCATGCCTTACGTGGCCGCGGGCTCCGTCCTGCATTACTTGCACAACGTTGGAGCTTTTGATGCTGAGAAGCAGTTGGCCCTCACCCATCAAGTGCTCGCCGGCTTGGCCCACCTGCACAGGAGGACTGAGCATATACACGGTGATGTGAAGCCGCAGAACATTCTTTATGATCCATTGACAAACTCCTGTTTCATCATCGACTTCGGGATGACATACCGGCTTCCACTGGCAGAGGATTTCGTGGAGGACGGGGCAGGGGTGTACACCTATGCCTACCGAGCGCCTGAGGTTGCCAAGGGCATGTCTGAGAAGATCCTCAAGAAATTTTTGACTGTGAAGGCCGATGCGTGGGCATTGGCCATGACGGTTCACCAGGCAGCTACCAAAAAGGCCTTGTTTCATATGAGCCCCTGGAAGGCAGCGGAAAGTTTGTTGGAATTGTTTGATGCCTGCAACCCGGGCCCGCCTGACAAGAAAGCACGGTCTGTCCTCAGCCTGAGCAATGCCAGTCGGGAGGTTGCCGAGGAAGTCCGTCTGATGTGGCTTGCGATGGCTGAACCGGTGCTCCAAAAACGCCGGTCTTGCCAGCAGCTTGCAGAGGAGCATGGCCTGCGGTGATTCGCG